GGGATCGTTGGCCCGGAGCGGGCTGGGTTTTGGTCATCGGGTGGGGGGGCAGTGTCACTGTGTATCACTCATTTGTATATTTGTATATAGTATTATTTTCAATATTATTGTAGTTTAGTTATTAAATTGTCCTTATCTCAACCCACGAGTCCTCTTTACCATTTAACCCTTTTATTCTCTCCCCTATCATCAGATGGGGGCGCGAATTGTGTGAGCGGGTGTGTGTGGTTTGGCCCCCAGCCAAGGGCTAACCCATCACAAGCATATCTCAGAATCAAGAATTTCAGTCCTTGCAAAAAATAATCATAAAAAAATAAACTGAAATGATGGTATGGGAAAGGATAGGGATAACATGGGAAAAGAAAAAAGATTACTGAAATGAAAAAAAAATTAGGAAGAGAAGAAGGAAGGAAAATTATTTTGTAACCGGCTTTTCATGGAATACTTAAAAATCACCAAACAACAAAGCAAGAAACAACAACAAAAAAAAAAAGCTCCACCATTGCTATAATTCAGCAAAAGACACTTAAAGTATGCAGTAGTTCCTCTCTGCCATCTCTAAAATCTAGAATGCTTGTGTTTTATACATGTTCTCAAACATTTTCTTGAATTAACCCTGTTAAATTGCTCTTAAGATCTAGATTTGCAAAAAGAAAACTCTTTTTAGTGAATCTAGCACTACAAGTACTCATACTACAAATTAGGGAATAAAAACTAGGAAATTGAAATGAAACATCTTCAACCTCCATTTCATCAATAAAGTAAAGTGCTTGAGATAATTATCTGTTAGAGATATTTCTCATCTCTGTTCATTTTATAACCAGGGAAAGCATTCAAAACTACCAGCAAAGCATTAATGTTTGCTTGTAGAATCTGCATGCACTTTACACCCTGCATGATGCTGTACATGCAAAAACCTTAAAAAGTATGTATTTAAGTTTGTCTAAGCATTTCAAAGAGCACATGTACCAGTTGTTTTACTGTCAGGGTTTAAAAAAAAAAGTGAAGCATGCTCCTCCTCTCAACATAACCTGTCCCTTTAAAATACAGTATTAGGAATGAAACATTCAAATACAAGCTTGCTCTGAATTTACACCTCATATTCAAAACACAATACAGCATCCACAGAACTACAGGAAAATAAATACATTATCCATATAGGCATAGAAACTTGTGCATACAGTTAATACAAAATGTTATGTTCTTCATAACAAAAGCCGTGCTATCACCTCCATTTTGAGAAAAAGACCTTAGGTAACTTTTCCAACATTTTAAGCAGAGCCAGTGGCAAACGCGGGAGCAGAGCCTCTACTAAATGGCTACTACGCTGCTGGAAAATTTAATGCATGAGAGCTGGAAACACATCAACTGGACAAATGTGATAGGAATTAAGTTAGCTTTCATCAAAACTCAGTCCAGGTGGCTTCATATACTACCATCTGCAAATTCAGATTTATAACCAACATGATTTGATAATGTATATAATTACCTTTGTAAGTGAAGATATCCTTTCCACATTCAAGAAGACAGCTGTCACATGGGGCATTTTCTTAATCTTCTCTAAAAGATGGATAATGATTACAAAATAGTGTTAAATGTCAATTCTCTTTTTAAAATATACAGAATATAAAACCATTTCGCACTGAGCAGAATGCTCATAAAATATCTAACGGCATCATATTCTTTGTTCACAGAACAGTTGTATTTGCACTAATTTACTACTAGGTAAAGCAGCTGCCAGTTCCAATTATGTCAATCATATAAAAGTAGGGATTAAGTTGCCTCATACATTTTCAGCGAGCGTGGGTTATTTCTATCTTCCGTTGCTTTTGCACGTCTTCTATTTAGAATGACACAGTACTGAAAAATCTCAGTCCTTACCTGTCAAAACCTGAAAGTTGCCTTTCCCAAAAATAAACTTCTTGTCAGGATTTTTTGTAGGAACAATTATTTTATCTAAAACTGTCCAGTTCTGAAGGGTATCTATAAGAGCAATGGCTTCAGCAATCTGTAATTCAGCTTTAGGAACACAAAAAAAAAATATTATAATATACCAACATAACTTTGCTCAGATTTACAACTACAGTACGTACACGAACAAGGAAAGACTACGCTAAAGTGAAATTCTACTAGGGTGCCTATTTTAACCAGTAGCGCAAGGAGCAAAATGTCTTACCTCTAGTCAGAATAATTAAACTTCTAGTTTGATGCAGTTTTACCACACAAAGCATCTTTCTGCCAGTACAAAGTACTTCCGTGGTTGTTGATTTAGAATAATTTTTATTTGTATTGTCAGCAAAGAAATTACCAAGCTTTGTGCTTTAACAAGTGAAATGAATAACTAGTTGGAAAATAAATTGTTACTTTAGACGAGCACAAAACCATGTGATTAATTCCTTGGTGTTCTGCGACAATATTTAAAGCATTACTAATATGGCATATCCTGCTGCTAACTTCACTGATACTTATTTATAATGGACCTACACTGATCTATGACTTGCTAAACCCAGCAGATTCTAATCCTGTATTCTGGTTCATCAGTCTTTTTGGCATATCAGACCAGTAGATCCAGTTTTGATTTGCCAAATGGGAATAAGATCCTGTTTTCATAACAGATCTGTCAAGTTTCTCTAGGTAGCAAAACATAATTGATGCATTAAATAGGTTACCTTGGTCCAAAAGGTAATATATTTTTAAAGATAACCATGATCCTCTTTCTCCTCATATTGTTAGTGTTCCTTGTAAAACGCACAGATTTCCTGTTGTACCTGTGGTGTTTCAACAACCATTCCAAAACAATTGTTCAGACTTCAGGCTCTTCATCTGGAGGGCCTAAATAAATGGAAAGGGATCACTGCTACTCTTCCGTATGTCTGGACAGAAAGGTGCCTTCACATTTTTTTTTTCAGTTGTAAAATGTGAATGCTTATTAAAATTCTGAAAAGGTTACAAACTTTATTCTGCAAAGTACCAATTTGTTATAATTAGCAGCACTAATAAAACTAAATAATGTTTATCACATAATAAATTTGAATAAAAGGAGTATCATATATAAACTGACAGATACATATAAAAACCTAACTTACAAAATGCAGAATCCTTTCTATTACAACTGTGTAACTAGGAAAGCGCTTGGAGAAACAACATCAAGCCAAGTTCATCACACATGTTAAGTGTGCACGATTAACGTAAACGTATTAGCTAGCTACAAGGATTTCTGAGGGAAATCTAAGAATAGGATTACTACTAGAGGTCCTTATAAAGGAATTATTGGCAACTGCATCCCTAAGTAACGACATAAAGGTACTCCTCTAAGTCCATGAGAGAACTTGATTACACAAGACCTCATCTTCCTGCTCTTCAGACAACTTCTAGGTACACCTACGGCTGAAGGACTCCTGCGTACCTGGCCAGGCAGCACGGTTAAGGGTTGAAGGCTATTAACATTAGGCTAGTACGAGGGAAACCTGGCTGCTTCCTCAAGCAAGCCAAACACTCCATATACCGGGTGGTTTCGCTGCCCAAGACCCACCGTTACCGTGCTTTACAAGTCAAAGCACCGATCTGCGAGCAGTCACTGAGAGTGCATTCTCTTTAGAAAGTTATCAAAGAAGAAAACATCGACCTAGTCTTTTTATCTACTCCGAGTTTGTATTTCGCAGTTTTACCACTGTAATAACGGGTTTACTTCACGCTACCAGCACTAATTCCCTAAACGCATCCCTGCGGACCGCAGAGGTCTTGAACAGCACGAAACTGAGAAACGACGCAGCCAACGAGAGCCGGGAAC